AGTTCGTCCCACGTGACTTTGGAAACTGTTTCTGGGCAAAGTGCGTCAAATTTAGACTCGCACCTACTTTGGAAGAGCAAAGATAGTTGTAAACTTTTGTACGGATCATTCGAATGCGACTGATAGTCCTTCGTCTTTCAGCGCAGTCGGAATCTCTTGTTATAGGCAAATGTCTTGTTCCACTGCATGCAAGCTTTTTTCCAACTCCGTAGCCTCTCAAGCGATTTTTGCTAGTCATTACTCCATTTTCCTTGTTTCATTTGCACAATGCAGAGTACACGTTGTCCCCTTTCGGCCTTCAGTTGGGCTCTTCTAGCCGTTAGCTGCCTTGCCGAATGGCGGAGATGTTAGTGTCTCGTTGACCTTGCTGTCTGGCTTGATGTTATAACACCAGTCTTTATGACACTGACAAAATCGATATAATCAGCATCTGTGCAATTGAGATTCAAGGTTCATTAATAGCAGCTTCTCAGTGAAAGCTTGCTGATCGAATGGTAGTTCTTTACAAAGCTGTAATCTATGACCTTTTCCGATCAGCTCCACGTTTGCGACATCGAATGTTACTGTGGAACGTAAAAAACCTGAGGCCTGACCCTGTACAGAGGATGTTCTGGACCATGACAGACTCGCCTAATATTATTCGTTTCTCGTCAGTCAGTACATAATCGAATTGGCTCAGAGTTTCCATCTGAGATTCTCCATATTAACTTTTGTCTTGGAACTGTCTGGAAAACAGCGTTCATAACGTGGAGGTGGTCGCTTTCAGCAAAATTGCGAAGTGATCTTCATATTCATCTCTTTCGCCCTTTTCGTATTTGCTGATAATCAGCTGGATGTTGTTCGTTCATTTCCCAACGACTGTGTTGATTTTCCTTGGACAATCATGTTCCAGTTCTTCGTAGAATTGCTCAGTCTTCACTTTCAGCTTGTTGAGTTTGGCTGTAATTTTGTTGTTGTTCTTTCTCTGTAAAATTAGAATTGTTTTATGAGGTGATATAATGCCGCAGCTAATGCTTTCTTTTCTGTTTTCCGATCCAAGCTCTGTTCTCAAAAGCTTTACTGAGGAACACCTGGTCATCGTTGTTCCACTGTGCACTTAACAACTGAAGTTCAGCAGATCTTCAACTCTCGCATTTTCCAAAGACGTCTGCCTAACTCTTCTGCCTTTCTATGAAATAGTCCTTTGTAGATAGCGTTTTTGCATAATTGGCCACAGTTGGCCACAGATTTTGATGACGTTCATGGCTTGCATCCTGCAGTTTTACTGGGTGGCAGTTGTTTTTTAAAACCGACGCGGTAGCGTTTTTCACCAATTTTCCTCGTCTCAGCGTTTTTGGTGAGTAGCTGGTGACAGTTCATTTAAAGTGGTAGCCCTCGTTACCTGTTTCCAACGTTTCCCCAGCCCAATGGATTCAGAGAAATAGAACACTTTGTGAGGTTTTGGTCGCGGAAAGATATCACTGATTAGTTTCGGGTAGGGCCACTAACTCAACTGACCGTAGCGGGCTCTCACGCCATTTCCAGGCTCTCGATAGCAGGAAGATATCAATAACTGAGGCTAGATATACAAATGATCTGAAGAACAGAGGCAGAAGTCATTCCTCTGCTGATCGGAATAGATGTGTGCTCTTGGAGCAGTAAATAGAGACCATCAGTGCCGACTAAAGCCATCTGAACCCATCACGGCGAACGAACTGGAGAATGCGACATAAGATTTTAACAAGGGTGTATAACCCTTTGCAGAGGATTCTAGTTGAAGTGACCTTCATACGACTCATTAAATTTCATAAAGTGTGACTGATGTAAATGAATTATTCGATTGCATATTCATTATATGTCGATGAAATTTGATTGTTTTTGAAACATTCCAGCAACAGGAACATGTAGTTCATTCATGCATTACAGAGGAGTTAGTTACAATGCAAGTGGAAAGTTGAACAGGATGTTTTTGACACACTTAGAAGGACATAAATGCTTCGAAACAAGTGAAGAAACCAGATAACAATGTTACTGTCGTCACAACTACTTGACGTTAAATAAAGCTTTGACAGTAAAGCTGCCCCGATCAGTGATATCTGACATGAAGTGGAAACGGAACTTTTGAATGATCATAGTATAGCTGACTGTTACAGTAAATTTCATGCTTTGGTCGCAAGCTGGTCTGCTCAGAGTTACAGTTCGATGAGTTCGAAACTCACTGTTTTAACAAGATCAGAAATAGTCCTGCCTTTCGGTATCAGGAAAACAATTGTAGATGGTTGCCAGTCCATGTTTGACGACGCCAAACAAATCGCGTTTCGCTACTCACGTCGTAACATCTTCAGGGCATAACGGATATGACTGAGAGCAAGTCCTCTTACATACAGAAAGTACAGAAATATAAAGTTATGTGCAGATTTCAAGCAGTACTGTTAGAACTTTAAATTTTAGTGTTTAATACCAGCCACTGTTATGTCGTTTGCAACTTTCTTATCCAGTTTGTGATAGCTCCTCAGCTGTCACTTATCGCCACAGGAAAGTATTCATTACGCACATGATATCTCATCACCAAAATGTTTATCAGACGACCAATCTGCGACTAATCTTTAGCAAGAAATTATTAGCAAGTTCCGTTCTTTGATGTCTTCAGCCATGAATCGGCCAAGTGCCTACAATTTCACCAACGGACCTAGAGTCGGCAATGTTGCCATAGTAATTGAAAAAAAATTATACGAATAAAATAAATAAAATACTAACAATGAAACTAAAGTAAAACGAGAAAGGAAGGTATAAACAATGCCACTGCTAACTTACTGTATGACAATCGCGTGGTACGCATTAGAAACAGAACGCATTTAATGTTCAGACCTTTGTTAGTGTTGGGTGATCATACGCTCAAACCGATAACTGAATCGCCATAGAGAGCTTCCCAAAGCTGCCTCTGGAATAACGACAGATCTCTTACGATTTTATGAGATGGAAATCGCGTCTCAACCAACATTAGGGCTAACTAAGTTCAGTAGCACGGGCTGCATTCACGACACCACTATTGTCGCCGACATTTTTCGACCAACCTCGCCGCATCCACCGCATTGCCGTCACATTGTCTGCGACTGCTTATTTTGGCGACTGGCACATATCTTACAACCGTCTTACAATCTGCAGCTTGCAGACGTGGAACTCTGCAGCATTTCACTCTGCCCAGACAAAGTAACAGATGCTTCTTTCAAATGTCCCATGAACGCTTTCGCTTTTGTGGTCAATGAACGATCCTCAGAGGAGAAGAGAGTAGCTGCATATAGAAGTAGCGCTTTGCAGTAGCTTATGCTAAGCGACCGTCATTAATTAAATGCTGTCGCATCCTTCTCAGACAGTTTATTTGCATACTGCAATTACGGTAGGCATAGATACCTGTTTAGGTGTTCCAACAGATTACTAGCTTCGGTCTTCGGCTTTGTGGAAAGTTTGATTAGCACAACCGCTCGACTCCTTCGTGGCGGCTGTTCATGAGTTTCTGCTTCAACGATTAATTCCATTATATGCAAAGATGGCTTGATGTCTATTCTTGATCGGCGCAAAATAACAACTCCTGAAAATCAAGTTCTAGTTTACGTCATGTACTTCGCTCTTTAGACTTCAGACCTTGATCACGTGATACTGAAAAGAGATCATAAGACGGGTATTCCGAAACGATTTTGTACGACACAGAATCCCTTTTGTTGTTCTTTTCACCAACCATTGTCAGTCTCCCAATCACGGTCCCCACCACAGCTTGAACAGGGACAGTAAACTGATAAAGCGTCTGAGCGAAATGAGGTCCGGCGGGTTCTTTCGGCTCTGCGGTAACGGTTACCGACATGAACGCGGAATGCTTTCCATCGTGCACCTATAAAAACAGTTATAACCATATTCAAAGCCTGAAAGAAGTTTCTACCTTGATGTCCAAAGTAGCATTGCAGAACAGAGTTGAGTCACAAGGTTTCACAAGCACAATTTTGCCCGTAAACTTTTCTATCGCGAAGTTGCGCCACACATTACTGTCATCAGCGAACGAGTACTCCAAAGATGGGAAGAGGTCGACGTCGTTTGCTGGCACATTCGTAACAACACTGCCGACACCCGTTCCTTGAAATGTTAAACCTAGCTTCAGCAGTCTTGCAAAGTTTCTTTAAGATTATATGGTTTTAGAGATGGTTTGTTTATGATCACTACAACCTGTGATGTCTGGAGAGTAGTTATACGTAAATTCATACCTTCTGATATTCGTACATTTTCAGCGTGTGGAAACAAAGGTACGTTGTCGTTTTCATCGATCAGCTCGATTATCACGGTCGTAATGCTGAACTTATGAGGGACTCCGTAATCCGTTGCTGCTACGGTCAGCGTGTATCTCGGTGTTATTTCTCGGTCTAACATTTGAACACAGGAGTATAAAGAAACAATTGTTCAATAAATAAACAATACCCAGCTCGACGTTTGTGGTGATCACACCGTTAGCATCAATTGTAAAAGCTGAGTCGATGTTTCCACTGACAATCCCGTACGAAATTTTTACGTTTTCTGCAAAGTCGTGGTCAATGGCGGTAACCTAGAAAAATAGCCGATTTAAGATGGGACACACGATGAGGGCAGCGTCAGCTGTTTCTAACTACCAAACTGCAGTCATGATTGACTATCAAGGTTTCATTGCAGAAGCACACGCCTAAAAGCGAACATTGGCGCAAATATAGGGGGAGTGGAGAATTTAGCCACAGCAATAAGGATATAGTCTTGGAGTTTTGTTGAGGTCTTCATATGGAACGTCTGTGGTTT